GGGGTGGGTGGGAGCGGGCCGGGGAGCCGCTTGCGGCCGGCCCCGGGCTTTGTGCTGCGAGCGCCGCGGCCCCGCGCGCCGGCCTGCGGAGCCCGGGCGCGGCGGCCCCCTGGCCTGGCCTGGCCTGGGGCGGCGGCCCGGGCGGCCTCCCCGGAGGTGCCTGCGCCCCCCTCCCCCATTGTCCCGGCCTCCGGCCGCTTGCGGCTTCCAGGTCGACTTTTTAGGGGGTTGGCTCCGACTCCGCTAGGACTGTGCGAGCGAGGCATGCGCGCTGGGGGCGGACGTGCGCGCAGTGCGCGGTGGGGGGGGCGGGCTGGTGGCTTCACAATGCCGCCCCACGTGCTGCCAGATTTAAAGAGAAATGGCCCGGCGGCCGGAGCCCCGCGGTCCGCGCCCCGCCGGGCCCTCGCCGCCCCGCGCCCGCGGTGCAGAGCGGCAGCGCGGGAGGACTTGGGCTGCGGCCTCGGCCACCTTTATGGCTTCTTAAGAAAAAGGTTGTCCGCGGCTGTTACAGATTGTATAATTAGGTTTATTATTAGACCATGAGCAAGCAGGTTTGGACAAGTATTAAAGTTCTGGGTGCTCATGGGGAGTGACTTCGAGGGGATGGAGAAGTTCGGGTGATACTTGATAATTCATCACGAATAATGTATCGGAAAAGCTGTGAAACAATAACCTTACTGCATCTTGTGTTTGCAGTTTGTGCCTTTTTTTCGTTTGTTTTGGAGGAAGGAATTAAGATGTACTTTTGTCTCGCGAAGAATTGTTTAATAAGTTTTTATTATGCGGCGAACAGTGTTAGAATACTAAGTATGAAAACAGCATTCAGCTCAGTGGGAAACATACATTTTGAAAGGTGTAAAAGAAGTTAGGCAGTCACTAAGAAAGTATGAGTAATAACCGTGTTAGCAGTATTTCAAAAGTAGTTTCCCACTCAGCTCTAGATTTTGATGGCCTCTCGGTTCAGTTTTGCACTTTTTGACAAGATGAATCCCAAATGTTGATACAGTATTTTCCAAAGTTCTTCATTCATGGTTGACTCTTTCAAGACTTTATTTTTAACGTCATCTATGCCCCACATGGGACTCAAACCCACAACCCGGAGATCAGGATTCCTGCATGCTCCACGGACTAAGCCAGCCGGCCCCCAGCGGTGGGCTTTTTGATAAGGCCCATTAAAACATGCTTTAAGCTTAGAGGAGAGAATGTATTGGTGTGTCATTTTTCAAGCCTCGTTATAAAGTTACTTAACTGCTGATTAATTTTTCTTGCCTTCTTGATCAGAAACAATGGACTGGTCTTAATTTCTTAAAAATTTGGAGGATTTTAATTAACATGGACAAAATAGTACGCCAAGGCAGTGTGTTAAGTGAAATGTAAAAATATCACGCTCATTGGAAAGACTTGATAACTACTCCCTCAAATAAAGGCCCTGTTGTATGTTAGTAGTACATTGTTTGAGCTTTGTGGTTCTTCAGATATCATTTGAAAACAGGAAAGAATGGTAAACTGTAATCTCTTGAAATCATTTGACTGAACTTTGAAAGGCTTAATGATAAATGCTTTAAAAGTCCTGAAATGAGTTGAATTGAGTAGACAAAGCTGTAAGCCATTCTAGCTGCTAGAATTTCAGAAACTTACAGCAGCAGTGGTCCATAGTGGTTAGGGTTATTGAGGCTGACCTTTAAGGGTTTTACTTCGTTACTCATTACTCCAGGGGAGAATTTATTGTGTGTGTGTTTTGTTGGTAACTGGAATGAAGAACCTCCTGGTTCCTTTCAGAGTGGGGCAGAATGGTTCCTTTGGTGGCAGGGTTTCTCAGACTCAGGACTACGGACATTTTGAAAATGGCAGACACTGTTGTGGGGCCTGTACTGGGCCTTATAGAATATTTGGCAGCATTCTGGATCCGCTCCTGAGATTTTCCCTTATTTGCACAACTCTGATGGCTTTAAGGAGCACAGATGGCCCCAATCTGAGTGGACTTTCTGCTGGCTTCTCTCACTGGGGCAGACACTGTTGTGGGGCCTGTACTGGGCCTTATAGAATATTTGGCAGCGTTCTTGGCTTCTACCCACCAGATGCCAGCAGTAGTGTACCCCTTCAGTTGTGGCAGCCAGACCTGTCTCTGTTGCCAGTGTCCCCTGAGGGATTAAAACCAACCTAGGTTGAAAAATCACTGGTTTGAGATTGTTCGGTTAAGACCACGATGGCTGTTGTGAAGCAAGTGAGAACACCTAACAGACTCAAAATCAGATAGGCTGTGTATTTCTGTGTGGTATTATTAGACTCTGACTCTTGCGGGTTCAGCAGCAGTGCATAATGCTAAACACTGAGGAATCCGACACACCAAATTTCACTTCAAAATTGTTTTATTTTTTTGAGAAGGTATTATAAGCACTGGTTAAAAATACAGAGCACAAAATGGTATAGTCTTTCCACTCCCCCACAGAACCCCAAGTTCTTTTCTTGGAAACAGCCATCATTGATAATTTCCTGTGTGCCTTTTCCGAGAGATTCCTGTATCTCTGTTTATGTGTATGTATATTTCCCGAGGACTAGCATGTACTGGGCACTGTGTGGACTGCTTTACATGTATTATCTCATTTAATCCTCCCAATAAGGAGATAGTGGCTTCGAGATGTTGAGTTACTTGCCCAAAGTCGAGCTGTAGTAAGTGAGTGAGTGGTACTGCTGCATTCAAATTGAGGGCCTTCTTATTTTGGAGACTTTGTTTTTATTTATTTACTTATTATTTATTTTATTTTATTTTGGACTTTGTTTTTAATTGGCTATATTGCCTCCCATGGAGCTGTAATTACCACAAACATGAAATACTGTTTTATAAATTTTAATATTCAGAGTTAATTTATCCAGTAACTACCAAAATGATTGTGGAAATGTTCCTATCTTAATAAAATGTATCATCAAAATACCACACATTAAAATCTAAATGGTCAGGGGCGCGTGGGTGGCTCAGTCGTTAAGCGTCTGCCTTCTGCTCAGGTCATGATCTCAGGGTCCTGGGATCGAGTCCCACATCAGGCTTCCTGCTCGGTGGGAAGCCTGCTTCTGCCTCTGACCCTCCCCCTGCTTGTGTTCCCTCTCTCGCTGTCTCTCTCTCTCTATTAAATAAATAAATAAAATCTTAAAAAAAAAATAAAATCTAAATGGTCTTAAGGTAATCGTAAAAAGATATTTTAGCCGTTGTGAGCTTAAGGCCAACATTCTGCAGAATCAGGGAATTAAAGTCATAAGCTGAAAGTATTGCTGAGCTTTTTGGTGTTGGTGGTTAGCTATGAGAAAAATTTTGGACTAGTTGGGCTTGGAAATACTACTTATTTTTTTAAAGTAGTCTCCACACCCAGCAAGGAGCCCACTGGGGGGCTTGAACTCATTGACCCTGAGATCGAGAGTCAGATGCTTAACCAACAGCCACCAAGGCGCCCCTTGGACTAGTTGGACTTACTCTACCCTTACCGTACTAAATTTTATGATATGACAAGCATTTATAAGGAATATGAGGAAGTGTTTTTTTTTTTTTAAGATTTTATTTATTTATTTGAGAGAGAGAGAATGAGAGATAGCACGAGAGGGAGGAGGGTCAAAGGGAGAAGCAGACTCCCCGCCGAGCAGGGAGCCCGATGTGGGACTCGATCCCGGGACTCCAGAATCATGACCTGAGCCGAAGGCAGTCGCTCAACCGACTGAGCCACCCAGGCGCCCGGAATATGAGGAAGTTTTTACCTTTTTTTTTTTTTTAAGATCACTTGAGGGTTTTTTTTTTTTTTTTTTTTTTTTAACATTGGTAGAATAGATTTTCCAGAGTTAGGGTCTCGTAGGCACCTGTCATTCCAGAACTAGGAAGAAGAATTTTTTTTTTTAATACAGTAGCAATAAAATAATTGAGCTGCTTTTACTGTAGAAATTTTGATTGTGTATTTTAAAGTAATCTGGAATATTCCCAAATCTTCATCTCCTTGACTACCCATATAAGTAGGTTGTTGTGATGAGTTAGTTAAGTGTGGTTCTTAGACTTAATGTGCAGTGGAATCACTTGGGGAAATACAGATTCCTGGTCTCATCCCCAAAGAGTCTATGTATCTTGATGCCCAGGATAATCCACTTTTTAAAGGAGTTCTTTGGGTGGCTGTGAAGCCAGGGGTTCAGAGGCATACTGCAGTGGGTGCCCTGAGCTCTTTCCCCTGGAGGGCTCCCTGCAGTTCCTGGTTTTGTGCCATGCTGTTTCATTAGCAGCCCTGGTGTTGGTAGGATATTCAAGGAATACGCTTAAAAGGAGGAGTTTGAAAGATTTAATATTTCTTGGCCTTTCTAGAATATATTGGCACTCTGACGTACGATTCCATTAACAATTTTAAACAAGCAAAAATAGAATAATTGATTTTTGACAGGAATACCCTAGTGATAAAAGATTCTGGGTGATGAACATAGTGCTTTATATATATATATACACACACACACATATATATATATTTTTTGAGTAGGCTCCATGCCCAGTGTGGAGCCCAGCACGGTGCTTGAACTCAAAACCCCAAGATCAAGATGTGAGCTAAAATCAAGAGTTGGACGCTCCACCAACTGAGCCACCCAGGTGCCCCTTAATAGATTTTTTTAAAAAGATTTTATTCATTTATTTTAGAGAGAGAGCGCGCGCGTGAGAGCGTGTGTGTGCTTGAGAGTGTGACCAGGAGCCCGGTGTGGAACAGAGGGAAAGGGAGGGGGAGAGAAGCAGACTCTCCACTAGGGCTGGAGCTTGACATGGTAGATTTCAGGACCCACGAGATCATGACCTGAGTCAAAAGGAAAGAGTCTGTCGCTTAACCAACTGAGCCCCCCTTAATAGATGCTGTTAATATTCTTTTTTTTTTTTTAAGATTAAAAAAATGTTTTTAAGGAATCTCTACACCCAACATGGGGTTCAAACTGACAATCCCTAGATCAGGAGTCGTGGGCTCTCCCAGCTCAGTAGGTAAGAGGTGCCTCTTAACTATTAATATTCTTAATAGTTGTTAACTCATATGGAAGAAAATGTTTAAAAATATGGAAATGGAGGGGAAGTCTAAAAGTAAATTTATATTGCATCATACCACTAATCGTTTAACAGTCTGGGAATCTTTTTTTTTTTTAAGATTTTATTTATTTGAGAGAGAGAGAGAGAGAGAGCACATGAGAGGGGGGAGGGTCAGAGGGAGAAGCAGACTCCCCGCTGAGCAGGGAGCCCGATGTGGGACTCGATCCCGGGACTCCAGGATCATGACCTGAGCCGGAGGCAGTCGCTTAACCGACTGAGCCACCCAGGCGCCCACAGTCTGGGAATTTTTATATCCAGAAATAAATTCCTCTATTATAGAAATAGTGGAGCCTACTACATGTTTTACTGAATATGCTGTCAGAAAAAAAGCGAAGTGAGGGGCACCTGGGTGGCTCAGTCGCTGAGCGTCTGTCTTCGGCTCAGGTCACGATCTCAGTCCTGCAGCAGGGAGCCTGCTTCTCCCTCTCCCACTCCCCCTGCTGTGTTCCCTCTCTTGCTGTCTCTCTCTCTGTCAAATAAATAAATAAAATCTTAAAAAAAAAAAAAAGCATAAGTGAAATAAATACTGTGATTGAGGGAGGGCTGTTGGATAATTCACCACATTCCCTGTAGTGGAGAAATTGCATATCTGACTTGTGGTATCACAGAATCTACAGTGTGTATATACATATATGGCAAATCATTATGTTGTATGCCTTACAAGTACACAGCGTTATGTGTCAATTGTATCTCAATGAAACTGGGGGAAAGTCTGTGTTAAATTTTTTTAAAGATTTTTTTTGAGAGAGAGAGTGCAGTTTGTGGGGGGAGAGGGAGAGGGCGAAGCCGGCTCCTGGCTGGGTCCCAGGACCCCAGGATCATGACCTGAGCCAAAGGCAGGCACTTAAACTGACTGAGGCACCCAGGCGCCCCGATGGGGGCAAGTCTTAATATTTCAGTGAATAAGTGAATTTTCTTAACATTAGGGAGTAAATGATTTTTAAGTAATAATTGTCATTCAGTGAATATTTTTGATAATGCAATGAAATTTAGTTTTTCATAAACAACAGTAGTTTGGGGCGCCTGAGTGGCTCAGTCAGTTAAGCGACTGCCTTCGGGTCAGGTCATGATCCCAGGATCCGGGGATCGAGCCCTGCATCCGGCTCCCTGCTCAGCAGAAAGCCTGCTTCTCCCTTTCCCTCTGCCTGCCCCTCTGCCTACCTGTGCTCTCTGTCTCTCTGTCAAATAAATAAATAAAAAATATCTTAAAAAAAAAGTAATTTTCTATAAACTACTTCAGAATGAAACATACTATATTAGTCTTTTGTAATGGATGATCTCACTTTTTGAAATGCTGCTGAGCATATTAAAAGGTTGAAGTAAATTCTATGATCTGTAGATATTAGTATCTCGTATAGTCTGCATTTGCTGTAGTTCTACCAGATATATAGTTTTATTATGTAGTTTCTGTGTTAATACATACTGTATTTGGGGATACTTCTGTAGTTGATCATGAAATGCAGCTGCCTTGATTATTAATAGGATGGTATCTGGTGTAGGAAACTTGGAAATTGGTTGACTGTCACTATATTGTTTTCTCATTTTTTCTCAGGTGGAGTATTTGTTTACATTATCAAGATTATGTTTCAGTCCTTGGATTATTTGGTTTTGGGTCCTTCAGTGCAAGTTTCTGTTTTTTTGTTTTTTAGAGGGGGATAGACTAATTTTATGGTTAACTGTAGTGTGACTGTGTTCTTGCTTCAAGCAAGTGAATGCCAAGTGTTCTTTTGTTTTAATGGACTCAGTTCCATTCAGGATGAAAAGTTTTGCCTTTCTTAATTATTGAGAAATATTTTTGTTAGAATTTGAAACGTGAAATGACCTCCAAGGTTCTATTTAATGCCATCTTTGATTGGTTTGTGGGAAATAACTTCTCAGAGAAACAGGCATAGAATACGCTATGGAAACAGTCTGGCAAGGAAACATAGTGTCGTTCTATCAGGTTGAGGGCCTTGTTCAGTGACAGTACAGGTAGGAAAAAGGAAACATTTTGCAAATTACGGTAACGGACAGATGAGAGGATAAGAATGAAATGCCTCTTTAGGAAATAAGATACATGCTTGTTAAAATACAGCACTATGAATTTCCCCCCAGTGCTCAGTAGTATTAAGGTGAGTCAGAAATTTTTATCAGTGCTGTTCCCTCGTCAGATTTTGGCACTCCCGAGAAACAGCTGGGGGAAAATACTGTAATTTTTTGTTGTTGCTGTGGAGACGTATACCTCTTTTTAAGATGTGCAGTTCTAGAAAATATGTGGAAAGTTAATTTGATAGGAAATTTTCCTTTTATTTATGCTTTCTGTCAGTGTCTAATAACTTAGAAAAACTGCCCCTGCTCCTTCTCGACTCTTGTCCAGCTTTCTTGTCCACATCCCGGTTGGTTAGGGGTCTGTTAAAAGTGTAAACAACAAAGAACCTATTTAAATTTTTATCTGGCAGTGAAAGTTTTTAAAGCTGTTTTTGCTCTAATCTTGTAAAGTAAGCATTGCTTTTAAAGAACAACTAATCACATTTAGGATTTTTTCCTAAATGTCCTTTATGTTAGGAGGCACTGTGTGGATTTGCTTTGAATGTGCTCACGTTTTAACTGTGTGTGTTGTTATTTTCTTATTCTTATGTCTGGTGTGCGTATTAGAGTTTCGGTTTCAAGACGGGGGCGCCAGGTGGAGAGTCTTTATGCACAGCGTTGGAAGCACGGTCCAGGAGAGGGATGTTGGTAAACTGGGCATTACCAGCTTTAAGAACGTAAGTTTGTGAGACACAAATGAAAGGCCAGCTACAACCTGGAAGGATGTATTTGCACACTACATATCTGGCAGAGTATTGGTGTAAAATATATACAGAACTCTCAAAACTCAGCAGGGGAAAACAGTCCTTTCAGAAAATGAACAGGAGATGTGAACAGACATTTCAGGTGGCACATGAGCAAATGAAAAGATTATTAGACATTAGGGGAATGCACGTTTAAACCACACTAAGTTGTCACTACATAACCTACTAGAATAGCTAAAAAAAACAAAACAAACCACCAAATGCTGTCCAGTGGATGCGGAGGAACTTGATCTCTCATACGTTGTTGGTGGGGATGTGAAATGGTACAGCCACTGTGGAGAAAGTTTGTAGTTTCTTGTAAAACTGAGCATGCACTTACCTTACCACGCATCAGGTGCACATTTGGGCATTTAGAGAAATGAAACTTATGTCCCTGTAAAGACCTGTATGTGAACAGTCATGGTAGCTTTATTAGTAATAGCTAAAAACTGGAAGACAGCCCAGATAGCCTTCTGTGGGTGAATCAACCGTGGTACATCCATACCGTGGAGCATACTTCTCAGCAATGCAAATAAACACTACTGATAGATACACAGAACAACTTGGGTGCCCTCAGGGGAGTTACACTGAACGAAAGAAAGCTAATCTCAAAAGGTTACGTACTGTATGATTCCATTTATGTAAAATTCTTTTTATTGTGGTAAACACAAAATTGGCCATCTTAACTATTTTTAAGTGTACAGTTCGGTAGTGTTAAGTGCATTCACATTCTTGTGGAATAGATCTCCAGAACTTTTTTATCGAAAAACTCTGGTTACCCATTGAACAACAACTGTCCCTTCCCGGTTCCTCTTGCCCCTCTCTCGTAACCATCATTTTACTTTGTTTTTGTTAATTTAATGACTCTACCTCCTATCAGTGGAATCATACGGTATTTATCTTTTTTGACTGGCTTATTCACTTAGTGTGATGTCCTAAAGGTTTATCCATTCTGTAGCCTGTGGTACGGGGCCCTCCCTTTTTAAAGCTACATCGTGTTCTGTCGTGTCTGCCTGACGTTGTTTATCCGTTAGTCCATAGGTGCAGCCGGGTCACCTGCTGCCAGGAACGTGGCTGTGCAAATCTCTCTTCAAGATCCTGCTTTCAATTTTTTTGGCTGTAAATCCAGAAGTGGGATTGCTGGATCATATGGTAGTTCTGTTTTCTTTCTTTCTTTTTTTTTTTAAATAGACTACTTTTAGAGCAGTTTAGGTTCACAGCAAAATTGAGCAAACACTACAGAGATTTCGCATACGCTCTCTGCCCGCACATATGCATAGTCCCCCTCTCCCGATGATCAGCACCCCCCATGGATGGTGCCTATGTCACAGTTGATGAGCCAACATTGAGTAGTTCTGTTTTTAGTGTTTTTGAGGAACCTCCATATTTTCTCTAGTGGTAACACTATTTTACATTCCCACCGACAGTGCACAGGGGTTCCAGATTCTCCACATCCTCGCCAACACTTGTTATTACCTTTTTGTTTGTTTTGAACTGTAGCCGTCCTGATGGTCATTAGATGATATCTTACAGTTTTGATTTGCATTTCTCTGATGATTCGTGATGTTGAGCAGCTTTTTATGTGCTCATTGGTCCTTTGAATAATCATCTTTGGAGAAATGTCCTTTCAAGTCTTTACCCATTTTTAATCGGGTTATTTGATTTTTTGTTAAATTGTGTGAGTTCTTTATGTACTCTTGGATATTAACCCTTTATTAGGTAATAAATATGGTTTATGAGTATTCTCCCATTCCATAGGTTGCCTTTTCACTCTGGATTGTGTCCTTTGGTGTACAAAAGTTTTCAAGTTTGGTGCTCCATTTGTCTGCCTGTGCTTTCAGTGTCGTGCCCAGGAGTCCGTTGCCAGCCTGCTGTGATCAGGCCTTTCTCCTATGTGCTCTCCTAGTAGTTCTGTAGTTTCAGGTCTTACGTTTAGATCTTTTATCCATTTTGTACACAGTGTAAGATAAGGGTTCAACCTAAATCTTTGGCATGTGGATATCTGGTTTTCTCATCACCTTTTTTTTTTTTTTTTTTAAGATTTTATTCATTTATTTGACAGAGAGACACAGCGAGAGAGGGAACACA